GGAGAGTAGAAGAGCTAATAAGGGGTGTTAATCTTTTTGGGGCGTTGAGGACAAGAGGAACTGATGTAATCAAGATGAATTGATGTGAACATTTAATAATACAATATGATGTTGGCTATGTAAAAGTATGCATGTGATTATGTGACATGAAAATGGAAAAAAATAAAAAAATAAAAACTTCAACTTGAAGAAATAAATTCTAAAATGCTTTGAACATAATATTACTATAATTGAGTGATGGAAAAAGCTCTGCTACTAAATCCACGTTCATAGTACAATTCAGAGGCATCTTTCATACTGAAAACTATTTCCAGCTCTGTTTAACATGATTTTGCTGAAACATGGAAAAGCTTCTGTTAGTACAATGACTTGCTATTTGAAAATCTACAGTTATAGTACTGCAGAAGTGTTTGTTCATATGTAAGAGATCTTCTAGACCGGGTGTCAGCAACCTGCATTTACAGAAATGCATGGGGGTCTTTCATCTCTCTGCTGTGGCTCCCTGTCATGGCAGAGGGATGAAAGAGCTGTCACACTGTCACAGCAGTGGTGATGGCCAGAACCTTAGTACAGGTACTAAGCATCCCTAAGCTTGCCGAAACATCATTCCACCTTCATCGTGGTACATTTGCTGTTGCTGCTTCCATGGTCTGCCCGCTACTCTTGCAGCACCTTGCACAGCACAGTGAAATTTAGCACGCTTCACAATTGGGGAGTTGGGGCCCCATCTTCCTGGAGCCCATTACGACACGGAGCCACAACGCGATCCTGCATCGTGAGTCACTCTTGCCTCCCGGATGTCAGTTGCTTTTCCTGCAAACCCGCCAGTATTGTGCTGTCCCACCTCCTCACCGACCAGCTGGTCTTTAGCTCTCCAATAACCAGTTAATCATCAGTGCACTGTTCCTGGACTCATCGGTGTCCGGATATCAGATTCCCACCACCCAGCACCAGTTCAGAGATAGACAGAGAGGGAGATAGAGACGGAAGGGAAGAAGGGGGGAAGAGAGAAAGAGAGGGAGACACAAGAGAGAGACAGAGACAGAGACAGAGACAGACAGAGAGAGGGGGGGGGTTGTGGCTCCCAGTGTTTTCTTTTCTGTGGAAAACTGGTCCAAATGGCTTTTTGAATGTTTAAGATTACATACCCCTGTTCTAGGCCTTAGCTAAAATTTACCAATCTAAAAATTTGTAACAAATGTTTCTACTAGAATGTCTATTGCTGAGAAACAGCTGAAGTGTCATAAATAAAAAAGCTTTCTCGAGAAACATTTTCACTTACCAAGATACGCTTCAGTAAGTTCAAAGCAGTTGTATTTTCAGCTGTCCAAAGACCCACTAGATGTCTACTCAGTTGCCTAAGAATTAAAGCGGAAAAAACATTTTATTAGAAAAAAATGAAGTTCGAAGACAACAGTCTTCCAACAGTACTATTACTCAGTAACTATTCAGAATCTTCAATTATCTTCCAAATTAAAACTGCTGTGTAATCTACCTAATTCTAAAGCCTTGTGATTCAGTAAACATTGTATTTTTAAAAAACCAAATCAATGTTAAAAGGCAACTTACTACCATTACACATTACACCAACTTTCAATCTACCAACTTCCAAAATGATGTGTCTAGTGTTTTACTAGAAATAAAAGTAGGACAGATGTTTGGCAGGATGCTTATGTCCCCAGCTTAAAAGAATGCAGCTTCTATGAATTCTGTATGTACATTAAATTGTAGTAGTAGTAGACATTGTTTAATTTAATAAGATGATGATACTACTGATAGTGATATCAACATAAAGGAAGAACAACCCCAAGCCAAAAAGAAAGGAAGATAGATCACTGTGGGAAATGACTACCAAAGGCAAGCACCAACTGAAAAACAATCCAGACAGTATAGGTGGTCTTCAATTTACAACCATTCATTTTGTGATCTTTAGAAGTTACAATGATGCTGAAAAAGTGTGACCATTTTTCATCCTACAATCATTGCAGAATCCCCATGGCCACATGATCAAAATGCAGACATTTGGCAACTGGCATGTATTTATGACAGGATCATGTGATCATCTTTTACAACAATCTTATAAGCAAAGTCAATGGTGAACCCAGATTCATTTAATCACAGTATTATTAACTTAAATGCAGTGATTTCCTTAACCATGGCAAAAAAGATAAAATGGGGAAAAATTCGCTTAATATCTTGTTTAACAACATAAATTTTGGGCTCAATTGTGTTTGCAAGTCAAGGACTGTATTCAATACTGTAGTAGAAATAATTATAATCATTTAATGTAATGATTAAACTGCTAAAAGTGGGAGAGTATAAATACTAATCCTCTCTCAAATTCAGAAACTGGCTGGGTGATATTGCTCACTCTCAATCCAAGCTACATGATACGTTGTTTCTGTGGAGAATATAGGAAGCATTATAGATACTGTCTTGAGTTGTATAAAATAAAGGTGAGGTATAAATCTAACAAACAACTGGGAAGAGACAGCAAAGTATTGAATGTATATTCTTTCAGCATATAATTCTTCTGCAGCAATCAGTTTCAGTATAAAAGACAAAGATCACTGCACCAAAGTCCTTAGAGCTGTGACGGCGAACCTATGGCACATGTGTCACAGGTGGCATGAAGAGCCATTTCTTAGGGCACGTGAAGTGTTGCCCTGTCAGCTCCAGCACGTGTGCAAGTGCTGGCCAGCTAATTTCAGCGTTCATTTTTGGTCGTTTTTCACCCTCTGGAGGCTTTCCTAAAACTGACTTCCGGTTTGTTCATTGGGCTATTTTTCTCTTGTTGGAGGATGAAAAACGGCCCAACACGCAAATCGGAAAACGGGCCAGATGGCCTTTGGGTGGGGTGGGGCAGGGAAGGCCGTTTTTGCCCTCCTCAGGCTCCTAGAAATCCTCTGGAGCATGGGGAGGGTGAAAAATGGGTCCACTGTGCCATTGCGAGCCAAAAGAGGGAGGTGGGGGTGGTTGGTGGTATCATGTGCGCACGTGCAGGGGAAGGGCACATATAATTATGGCTGTGGGGGGCACGCATGTACATGACCCCCCCTGCGCTCCCCACACTTTTGGCACATGATGGCAAAAAGATTAGCCATTACTGTCTTAGAGCATTTAAACAAGTAATTTAAGTCTGGACTCACCTATTGGTACGCATCCTTTGATCTGTGCTTATAGTAAACATAGCGGTATGCAAGTGGCGAGGTAAGGCACCTTCACTGAGAGCAAGTTCTTGCATTTTAGTTGCTATTTCTTTATCTCCCTCCTTTGGGAAAAATGGAATAAAATTTAAAAAACAATTATTTTGCAGTTTTTAGAACTAGAAGTAACTACCTGCACATATAACACTGTTAATATTAAAAGCTAATTGGTCATATCAATACTTTTGATATTATTTCTGCTGTGACAAGAAGCATTTAAAGCAAATCTGAATGTAATTGGTATAATTATTTCATCTTTAAAAATATAAAAGAAGCCTTGGAAAAAGGAATATTTTATCATCGTATAGAATTTTACAAAATAATTCAAGATGTTTCCTGGAATATATTAAGACCATAAAAGGTAATGTTATTTGTTGCAATGCCTAATTGATTCCATTAATATTGTGTATTTATATTTTCACAAATATTGCCATATAAAGGTTTTAACAGCTGAAATTTACCTGTAGTCAAAAACTTCCCCTTATAAGAAAAAATAGCAATATAAAGAATTATAATTATCATGGAAGAAAATATTCCAGAAAATTCATCATATTTCTTCATATGTTTATTTTATACAAGTTGTTTACCACTCAAATGTACCGTTTTTTAGATAAAACTTTTAAACAAACCTTACTTCTATTATTGCCTTCATAACCAGTCCAGCTCCTTTCACAATGGCCATGGAAGGATGCTGTGAAAATAATGCATAAGACAGCAATATAGCGGAGATATAATGAATTGCTAAATCTAAAACTATGAGGGGTGTGTGTGTGAGACTGTCATTAAGTGATAAACAGTTTTATAAGACTGCAATTGAGAGTCTTCAAGTTCTATAACAGATTAGCTATATTTATTACCTATTTAATTTAGATTCCAAGGGCTTAACAATCTCAGTGTGAGAAAAATGGCACAATCATATTATGGTAGTTGTTCTTATAACCTGTTACCTTCTTCAGACTTGATTGTTGATGGGAAAAGTGGTATTATTTATTTATAAAACTATTTGAGTTGCCTGTTCTTATAAACCTGGACAGGATGGACTGCTTTAAATAATGAGAAATTATTTTTCTATGTTTAACATGAAATATTTACAAGGATATTTTGAGTCATAGAATAAAGAATAGATTTACTTGTGTCAATTTTAAATTATTTCATAGCAAATTGGGATGGGGGGATTGAAATCCATTAAAAAACAGAAATTGTGGATACACATAGGAGATGGATATAAGAATGATCAATGCTGGAAAGAGAAATCTACCCGATTTTCAGCAACAAATCAGATTTTTATATTTTCTTAAAAATATAGTGCAAATATATGTAAGTTATACATTCCATTTACAATATTATTATCCCTCTTTATAATATTCATTCTGAAGCATTAATTACTTAATTTATAAGGTTGTCAATCTCACCAGGTGATTCTGGTCAGAGAACAAAGTTTTAAAATTAGAAATAATTAAAATAACCAAACATTAAAGTACATCACAGCCAAAAATTAACTGCAAAACATATCTCTTACACACTTGCGGCCCCAAGCACTGAGCAGAGAGCCAGTTCTTCATAGATTTACAAAAAGCTAGTAAGGTCAGGGCCATTCCGATCTCCAGAAAGAAAAGTTTACTTAAGGGAGATGCTATAGAAGAAAAGGTACATGTAGGACCGCATTCCTTATCTGTCAGGAGATGAAGAATGCCACCTTGAGCAGATTAGAGAGGTAGAAACAACTGGGAAGAGAGAGACACTCCCTCAAATAGCCCAGCCCTAAGTCATTAAGTTACATAATATTAACACCTTTGCATGCATACTTTTCTTTGTTAGTTTGATATAATCAAATTAAAAAGTTCAATTCATATAAAATGTACAATTAACAATGGGAACAAAATTAAATGATTTCTGAATTGTTCCTTAACACCATATTAACCTGAAAGAGCTTGAAGAGGGTTCTTCCATTAGATGCAACCATCTCTAATAGCATATCAAACTGCTGCCCTTCTGTTGTTTCACTATAAGGAGCACAAAGTGCAAAAGTAAGGAAGTCCAGAAGCGAACTAATAACTAGGGCACCTGTTCCATATTCCTAGAAATGAAAAATGTATTCATTTAAAAAGATTTTACAGAAAAAAAGTCTAGTACTCATGACTTTTTTTTACTTCAAAGGAAGATGAGCTGAATATAAGACTATCACTTTAACTCCAAAGGAATAGCAGGCAGAATAAAACCTATCGCTTCTGATTCTGGAAATTTCTCTCTTTCCAATAAAACTTCTGTAGGCATAAGCTGCATGCATATGTAACTGCAAAAACACATTCCAAAGAGGCAGTACAGGTCATTAAAAAGAATAAATAAACTCCTTATTAAAATTGTCTGTAAAATGAAATTATTTCATTTATACTGTTAAATTATGTCCAGTTTTTATGCACAAGCTATTGTCCTTGCTGGACATAATTTATGTTCAAAAAGGATTAAAATTCAGTCCAATAAGATATTATGGTTAATTTTCAAAAAAAAAAATCCACAAAATAATCTGCAGTGATTGCAGTCACTTCTTTGTTTTCAACAACTATTATTTACCTTACACTATACAACCACAGTACTAGGTGATATCTCATTAGGTATTGGATTTCAATTACCTCAGAATTTTTTAAAAAACAGACAAGTAAGCTTTTCAGATAGGCACATTTCTAATGCTGAATATATACTGTTGGTATGCTCAGAAAATAACAATAGGAAAGTTTATCTAGTCACAAAATGGTTGCATTAACAGATATTAATTAGAAAACACCTTTTTAGTAGAAGTGTATTTGATGCCTTTCAGAGAGGATAAAGTGGGAACCCCTAAAACAAATCTTGAGGTCACACCTCAATTTATTTATAAGACACTTCAGTCTGGATGACTCCAAAACAGTTTATGCAGTTATTCAATAAAATTAACTAAGAAGTTGAATTCTTCTATGCACATCTCTCTCAGAACAATTTATGCTAGCTGTTTTTACTTAGTAATATGCTAGCTTATTATTTTTTAATTTAGATAGCATTTAAAATATAAAGTCATACAGCACAAAGGGCTACCCAAAAGAAGAGTTTATAGATTCTTGATGCTTATGGGCACTACACAATTTACTTATAATCTGATTTTCAAATATAACTGCAGACATAATTGTAACACAATAGAACCATAAAATCAATGTGTAGTATTTTGCCCCTTCTAAAAATTAACTGAAACTCTTCAAATTTCTGAGCTATCTAATCAAGAGGCCTTTTCACTGCATCTCTCATACACATAATTTCTAAATATTTGAGTGATGTAAAACACTGACCACATGGGAATTAAATTTCTCCAACAGGTTTTCCAAGAACTTCTTTGAAGAAAGAAGTGATGCCTTGTTTAACTGTTCTTGCCTCAAGTCATAGTCATCATGCATAGGCTATGGATAAAATATATCATTACTATAAAGCTATAATTATGTGAATTGTAATGTAAAAATGGAAACATATCAAGTCTCTGATAATTTTATAAAACAAATATAATATTGAAATGATGTAATACAGGCATGAATTCATCTTGCATAGCAATTTTAATTCAAAATCTTTCCATTACAATTAGCACAACATGTCAGTGAGGTCACGTTTAAAAACAATGCCAACATCCTGAAATTCCTTTAGTTTTTTTCTTCCTAGCTACGTCCACAAAGAAGTAAAGTTGCAACCCTCTTGGCTTAATTGAAAAAAGCAAATACTTTTTTTCTTAAAATTACTCTCTTTTGTAGATTAAATCATAATGATCTAATTAGTCTCTCCAAAGTCCATCCATACTAACTTGAACATCTATTAATTTTATATGAATTACATATAGAGGAAATTAAATTGTTGAAAGCTATTTAAATCATGTATTAGATTGTCCAGATGAAACAATACAATTGAATCCAGTTCAGCATTTTATAAACCCCTTCATTTTAAGAATCACTGCCTCTAAATTTGATCACAAATATTTTACTATACATAAGTACTTACACACATCAGGGCACAAAGCATATCAATCGAAGCATGGGTAACTCCATCATTGTTTCTTTTAAGAGCCTTTACTACCTTTACACCCAGGCGCTCTCGAAATCTTTCAAAACAATAAGGCAATGTATTACATAAATTATCCAAATCAGTATTAAAACTCAAAAATAAACAATTCCATTAATTTGAAATGTTCAGTTCAGATCTAACAACATAACATTAAACTGAAGGCAGATAGATAATAGCTCAAAGGAAAGGAAAAAGAACATTGCCATAGAAAAAACATTGTATATCTATTAGCAATTAGTTCATACTAAGCTGGAGTTTATAGGCCAGTGATGGCTAACCTTTTTGTCCTCACGTGTCAAAAGTGTGTCCACACCCATAATGCAATGTGCACATGACACACACACTATGCACCCCGACTCCTATGCAGGCATGTGCGACCCCGTGCTCTCCCCACCCTCCGCCCATGCATGCGTGATCACCCCACTGCGCCCTGTTTTGGGCCTAACAGGCCTCCCTGCAGCCTTGTGAGATCAAAAACAGGCCGCAAGGAGGCACACCGCACCCCCACATCCCATTTTGAGTCTAGCAGGCCTCCCTGAAGCTTCCTGGGACCAAAAACAGGGTGCGGGGGAACGTGCAACCTCAGCCCCTTCATGCATGTGTATACACCTCCCGCATGTGCAGCAGAGATCTGGAAATCAGCTGGCCGGCGGGAGGCATGTGCATATGTGTGGTGGAGCTGAGCTGGGCAACGCGTGCTATAGGTTTGCCATCATGGTTATAGGCAGTATAACAAAAGTTGGCAACATTTAACGGCACAGAATTCTTTGAATAGTTAATTTTAGTAGAATAAATCAAAATGTCCTGGGAATTTAGATAGAAGAAGATAAATCAATTGTAAACAAAAGTTGTATGAACTAATAGAATTTGAGTTGCATTTTCCATTTACATTACAGGAGTACTATCATTAGTTACAGGATTTCCTGTATTTCCTTCCAATAATGTTGTGGAGACACTGTTAGAACAAGACAATATAAACTGATCAAAACAAAGGTCTTGTCCAGATAACTAGTCTATTTGTATTTTAAAAACTGGCTGCCAATAAATTAATCACAGGAACAAGCAGCATAATCCAACTTGCCCTGTACATCTAGAATTCCTGTTTTAAAATTGAGTTGGCTTGCTCTAAGCATAATGGAAAAAGTCCCAGTAAAAGCTACAGAAAGTGATTTCCTAGAAATAGTTTGTTGAATTTTTTAAAAACAGATGGAGTCAAAAGTATCTATTATAGTTAAGGGGATCAATCCAACAGGACTATATAATACTTTCAACAAAATATTAAAGATTAATAATTTAAAGACCAGAATCAACTCTACTTATTTAGCATATGGCAGCAATCCCCAATCCTTCTGGTTCCACGAACTATCAGCAGCTGCGCCGGGGGGTGGGGGGTAGAATGATTTAATGTGCAAAATGGAGATGGTTTGTTATTTGTGCAAATGAAGCTTTCAATGCTCACCTGCCGCTTGTGCGGTTCCCAATGGACCACTGACAAATACCAGTCTATAGACCAAGGGTCGGGGACCTCTGACATATGGCATAAGTATAAGTATAATCTTTATTGCCATTGTACTTAAATACAACGAAATTGGTTAGTATCTACAGAGATCATGCAATCACTCATATACTCATTAAGTTTAAAATCAGTGGTTCCCAACGTGGGGCGCACACCCCACAGGGGGGCAATTTAATTTTTTATGGGGGCAATTTGAACCTTGTTTAAACCAAGTTAATGGCCTTTTAGGCTTCTTCCATGTGAGTAAAGTTCACTTTGTGAGTAAAATAAGAATTATATGTCATGGGGAACGGATGGACGGGACACCAGGATTTTAATGATGCTTAGGTGGGGCATGGTCAAATAAAGCATCAGCAAATGTGTGTATGTCCGTGCGCACATGCGTCGGGTGTGTGTATAAAAGATATGTGAACAAGAGATTGACTGATTGGTGTCGCAGTGGGCTAGGAGGGCTCTGCAAAATCCAGCCAATACGTGCTTGCCAGGAGACCCTAAGGGGCCAAAGCCACCCTAGAGGGGTGGTGAAGATAGGAGAGACTATTTGTCAATAGCCAATGAAACACTCCTGATCCGCTGCAGAAATGACAACAATTATGGCCAGACTGAAGCTGTGACAACCGGGACAAGAAGATTATGAGCTTGCAGCAGTTCGTGAACAGAGGATTGGAACTGGATGAGACAATTTTCAACTTCTATATTAGAGACTTAAACCCAAATAAAAGAATTAAAAAAAAAAACTCTCCAAAATGCTGAGAAAGCAGTCAGTTAACCCACGGAGATAGATTACAGACCCAAAAGAGAAACAAATTTTAATGGAAGGCTATTAAGTTTTAAAATATAGAAAGATTGGACTGGAACTTGTACTATTGTGAAAGTGACTTAATTTGCAGATTATACTGTCCAATTACTGAAATAAATAATATAAAGAAAAATTGATGGTTTTTTCTCTCTGGACTTTTGTCAATCAGCTGTTCTAACTTTGCTTCATTTGATTCTGAACTTAAGAGCAGGGGTGCCACCTACTGATGAAAAGGAAGTTGGTCCTACCTGAACGTTCTTCTCAGTGTGGCGCAGGACGGTCCAGAAGTGGGTTGTTACATCTTTATATGCCCAAGAGACTTAATCATAGTTAAAGCCACGCCTTTCGTCCTTTCCTTCTTGGCTTCAATTCCTACGAAGATGCAGCTCCAACTAGGGAACAAAAGAAGAGCAGCCCCTGCCCTGCAGCTCACCCAATCCAGTGGACTATGGCCCTAACTAATAGGGAGAGAAGTGGACCGTCCTGCACCACGCTGAGAAGAATGTTCAGATAGGACCAATGTTCCTTCTTCATCTGATGGCGCAGGACGTTCCAGAAGTTGGACATTCCAAAGCCGCAGTCCCTAGGGTGAGGAACTCACTGGTCTGCAGTTCCCGGTGGATTATGCACTCTTTGAAGCAACCTTCGGCTAAAAGATGCCTCGGCAGATGCAAAGGCATCCAACCAATAGTGCTTTATGAAGGGTGAGGGAGAAGCCAATGTAGCCGCCCTGCAAATGTCCCCAATTGGGGCTTGAGTGTTCCACGCTGCCGTATTAGCAGTGCTCCTAGTTGAATGTGCCGTGATCCCGAGGTACAGATTTACCCTAAGCCTCATAGGCCCAGGCAATACAAGTTCACAACCAATGCCCAATGGTGGAAGGTAACATTCTAGAACCACTACAGATGGCTGGAACAAGACAAACAATTCCTCCGTCCTCCTAGTGCAATCCGCTTGATGTAGATACGGAGAGTCCTACACACATCCAACTTATGCCAGGATTTTCCCCTATCATGAGTGGGATTGGGACAAAAATCCGGGAGAACTATCTCCTGTGCCCTATGAAACTATGAGTTAACCTTGGGAATGAAGGTGGGATAAAGTCTCAGCACGAATGTGTTGTGATGAAAAGCACAGATGTCCTCCCTCACTGAGAGAGCCCCCAGCTCTAATATCCACCTTGCAGACGTGATAGCTATCAAAATGGCCATCTTTAATGTGAAACTGCAATGAACCAGTCCTCAACGGCTCAAAAGGGTCTTTGAGAAGAGCCAAGAGGACCATGAACAGGGCCTATGATGGAAATCTGTGAACCACCAGGGACCTAAGGTTAGTAGCCCCGCTGATGAACTGTTTTGATAACTGGGTGGTGACCAGGCTCTCTCTGCCATCTAGCACCAGGACAGTGGGCAAGGTCGCCACCTGTCTATGGAGAATGTTATGAGACAGACCTTTCTCCAAGCCATCCTGAAAGAATTCCAGGATGTGAAGAAGAGAGGATGTGAGGACCCTGAGGGTCCACATTTGCCATGTGGCACCACTTACAAAATGCTGACCACGTGGCATTATAAATACTATTTGTGGAGGGACGGTTAGATGCTACAATGGTTTGGATCACCCTTAAGGAGACATTCACTTCCCTCAAGAGCTCCCTCTCAAACACCAGGTGGTCAAATAGAGCCACTGCGGCTTTGGAAGGACCAACACCCCCTGGTAAAGAGAGATCCTCTCCCATGGTTTCCTCCAAGGTTTGGCAATGGACAGACCTACCAGGTCCACAAACCAAGCTCCAAGAGAAACCATTCCTCTGCAGGTTCTCAACACTCAGGCCAAGGTCCTGAAGTGACTGCACCAGAAAGCTCACCTGGAATGTCATCCAGGTAGCATTGAAGCCTGATCGGGATGGATCTGAGATAGGCCACAAAGGCTGCCAGCACCTTCATAAATGTCCTGGGGGCCGAAACCAAACCAAATGGAAGAGCCCTGTACTGGTAGTGAATGCCAACATAAGAAGACCTAAGGAACTGTCTATGTTGGTGAAGTATCATGATATGTAAATAGGCCTCCATTAAATCAATGGATGCCAGGAAATCCCCATCCCCGAGGCCCTCAAGAATAGGGCGAAGAGAAGCCATCTTGAACCTTTTATATACCAAAAAGCGATTGAATCTTTTAAGATCTAGAATCGCTCTCCACCCCCCCATCCCCCAATGACTTCAGACCACAAAGAGGTTGGAGTAAAACCCCTTACCTTTCTCATCCTATGGGACCAACTCAATAGCTTGGTTCTCCACCAAGTGTGGAAGTGCACAATGAATCAGCTTCCTCTTTTGCTCACACTTGGATGATATGAAGGTTCAGAAGAAGTTCGGGGTTGTGGAAAGGAATTCTAATCGCAGGCCAAATCTGATCGTATTTAGGACCCAGAGGTCAGAATACTCTCCCACCGGTTGGCAAACTATGTTAGCCAACTACCAATGGGAGGAGCAGACACCAAATCATTTGTTTCTGAAGAAAGGGTGTCTGCTCACTCATTGAAAGGGCCGCCTATTCTGTGGCTGAAAACGGGACCTGTCCCTGAAGGAAGACCTATCTTGGGCCCTGTCCTGGTGAGGCTGAAACCCCCCTCTGTTGGTACTGATAATCACTATCTGAACCCGGATCGTTAGACCTATATTTGTAAGTGGTAAGTGGCTGTGGTAGGCAAAACCTTATGTTTATTCTTATCCTCAATAAGAATCGCGTCCAAGGTCTCATCAAACAGGTTTTTCCCAGTGTATGGGGCCGCCGCCAATCTTCGCTTCGCCTTAGCTTCCAGCTGCCAGTTTTGGAGTCACACCATCCTCCTAGCTAAAACAGAGGAAGAAAGAGCCCTGGAGGCAAACTAGTTCAAGGGGGCATCTGCTGAAAACTGTGTAACAGCAATGACCTTGCTGATGTCTTGCAGCAACCTCAGATCGTGCGATGGCATTTGCTCTAGCCACATCAATGTTGCACTATTGAAAAAAGATGCAGAGGAAGCAGCCTTAATTGTCCATGTTGCAGCCTGAAAAGTCTTACGTAAAGCCAGCTCTGTTCTCTTATCCTCTGCTTTCAAGTTGTCCACCACATCGCCCGCGACCAGAGAGGCCGGGGTTGCCAAGGCTCTCACAGGAGCATCCACTGCTGGGACATGCAATGCTTGAGAGAAATCATGCTCCATATTATAGAAGCGTTCCCACCTGGGATCGGGAAGGTTCCTGGCTTACCCCATTGCTTTTGGGCTACATCCAGGAACAGTTTGGGCGCAGGAATCTCCTCCTTTTTTGCAGCAGGCTCAGCAAATAGCTCCCTTTTTCCACAGGCATTTTTGGACGTCGAAGCCTAGATCATTTCCTCCTTCTCCATTTCAAGAGCTGCAGCAGGAAACGAAACAAACCCGGGGGAAACAGGCCCGCAAAGGCTCGGACACCGGGGACCAATTTCTCATTATCAGAGAGCTCCAGCTCCTTCTGCTCTTCCTCCTCCGGGACGGACAGCTCACTCCTTAGTGAGAGGGACACAGCCCTGTGTTCTGCTAGAGTGAGTGGCCGGCCCCTGGGCCATCCAAAGCCCAGCTGCCATCAGCTTGATGTCAACTTTATCAGACTGGCATGGAAGAGGACTATTATCAGACTGGCATGGAAGGGGAAATTCCATGCATGCCTTTGGCTGGTGTTGCATCTCATGTCTACCGCCTAGTTGGAGAATATGAGTTATAATGCAGGACAGAAGGGAGGGGATATAGGGGTAAAGTTCAAATGCAATTAAGTGAAAGTAGTTTTGGCTCCACAGGAGTGGAGTGTTGATCCTAATAAATGATTGGATTTCTTTTGAACTTTGTCTCAAGATTCATAAATTAATTAGGTCGTCTCTGGGAACTTCACACTCTACATCTGTCTGGTCTGGAGACCAACCCTGAAAGGCGATGCCATGAGCTATGGCCCGATGAATAAGAGATTGGCAAATCATTGAATTCACTCTCAACATGACTGGGGCCTAGTCTAGGTGCCAGTCTTTGTTTTTGTGCTGGTCTCGAAACAGGCTCTAAGCATGCAAAAAGATGACCAGCCCCCTCCTCTCCTTCCATTTCCGAAAGAGGAGGAGAAATTGAACTAGCCCTCAGAGAATCAGAAAGCTTGGGAGGAGAGGGAGAAGGGGACATTTGCACCTCCCTCAAAGAGGGTGGAGATCTGTGAGAGGCAAGAAGACATTGTCCCCACTGCCAAGTCTGGGTCTCTCTGCCCCACCCTCGGATCGCTCTTGAACCTTTTGCTTGCTGGCATCCTGCTTCGAGGTAGCCTTAGGTTCTGCTGAAGGTGCCTTCTTCTTCTTATGGCCCTTCTTGGAAGAAGAGGATGAGGCAGGCTTAGAGGGCCCTGAAGCTGCACAGGGGGAATCAGCCATCCTGCCACACAGCCCGCAGGTACTCGCATGGGGTCGCCCAGCTTATCCTGACTTTGGGAGAATTCACAGCCCAGCTGCTGCCCTGCTCGACTCTGTGACGCACAGTGAAGAGTCAAGCAGCTCCAATGAGCCCCGTGCTGGCAAAAAGGCAAAACAAAATGGCCACCGCTCTCATGACTAACTAAAACAAAGAAAACAAAATGGTCGCCACCTCATGGCTCCAACCAAGATGGCCTCCGCCATGAGAACCTCATCAAAATGGCTACCTCACTGAGAATCTCACCAAAATGGCCGCCCCCAGGGACCGTGGTACTCATAAAAGCAGCTCGTTGCCTGCCGATTGTCCAGACAGCTGGCCGGCCCCGAGATCACCTGGCAAGGTGCAACATCACAGCTGTCCCGAAAAAGCTGCCGTCCATGGCTCCTGGCTTCACTGATCGCAGCCGCTGCCTCGTAAAGGTGTTGATGCTCTTCCAATGCGTTCCAGCAGACCGCAGCTCTACTGACAGCCTGACTTTGCCCCTGATCACCAGCAGCAACTGCAGGCATCTCAATTCTCCCTTCCGAAGAAGTACTTCCAACCAAATGGTTCTGCATCAGCTATTGAGCTGCAATTAGAGCCCCGATCGCCGGCGCTGCTAGCGGCGCTCCCCAGACAACTGGGGAGTTGTCTGGGGAGTTCAGTGAACTCCAAAAGGTAATTTAGAAAAATAATTTAAGGCAAGCCAATTGAAAATCAGAGGGAAACAATTTAGAGCTCCAAATAAGCCAAATTAGAACAAAAATGACAAAAAAGAAACTAAAACAAAAACTCTAAATCACGAGCAAATTAAATTACGTCTCTATCAGGCAAGACTGAGTTGGAATTGGAGCCAAGAAGGAAGGGGCTACAGGTGTGGCTTCAACTATGATTCAGTCTCTTGGGCAGATAAAGATATAACAACCCACTTCTGGAACGTCCTGTGCCATCAGCTGGAGAAAAAGATACTACATGGTGGGAAAATACCTTGGAAAGAAAATTTATAAAATTACGACTGATAACGTAAGGAAAAAGAAGGAGAAAAAGAAAAGAAACAGGGAAAGGCAAACAACACCTGGGAAGGCCTTTTTATTTTGGTATTATATGTATTTGCTTTTTGGCTGCTTGGAAGTAACTGGTGACCCTTTTGAAGATTTTCGAGGCAGTGTGGACTATAATTAACAACAATTACCCTTGAAGCTGAATACTTGACTTTGTGGATGAACGGGATTTGAGGAAACTTTGTGGGCTATTCTAGATGATTAATACTATCTGATAGGTGGTGAAAAAAGAAAAATTAAACAAGACTTATACATTTGGATACCTTAGAGGGTGCAAATTGGAAAATTCTGAAGCACTGTGCATTTTACAGGAATAGCTCCAGGAATGAGCAAATTTTACTAATTTTGGCATTTCTGGGCAATTGGAACATTGGTGGATTATTGAGTATCTTATAGCCTGTGTCTCAACAGGGAAAAACAAACACATTTCAAAAATAAATACTATTGATGCTTCAATGTATTCAGGAAGCTAGGGAGATAATGAAATTGATTCAGGATACAGATGTGAGACTAGAAAACCCTCAGCAAATGATAACAAAAAATGAACAAAAAATTGAGAAAGCAGAGGAGAAATTATAAGGTACTGAGGAAAGAATAGAGGAGATAAATCAACAAATGACACAAGTAGATAAAGATACAGAAGAGATAGTAATAATTTCTAAAATGGAACAGGTAGATTACTCTTTAAGAGGTCAAAATACAAGAGAAAAAAATATCCCAAAAGTGATGAAAGAGTTATTGATGAATGCTCTAGAAATTCCACAGCAAGAGATAGGTGTTGAAGCAGATGAAATACTTAGATTAAATATGAATGATATGAGATACAAGATTCCAAGGGAGGAACATGAGACATTTGTCAAAAAGTCAGTAAGAGTTGAAATATTAAAAAGGACAAGAGATCATGGATAGATGTAGAATATTTCCTGATATGGTAATTGCTTCATTAAGGGTTAGAAAATAGAGGTAGAAAATAAAAATTGGGAAAATAGTATTATGTATACGGATACATAATAGAATACATTATAATTACTATGTATACGTAAATGTTAGAAGTTGAAATATTATTATGTATCCCTAAATGGTATTATTGTTATTAGTATGGTGTATAAGGTACATCGCCACAGATAATACACTGTTCACTAAGCACTTATGGACATTAAAGAAAAACTACAAATAAAATTATTTTTAAAAAAAGTTATGTGGGCTATACGATATGTGAGATAATATATTAAATTAAAATTATAATAAGATCATTATCATATGGACCCATAGAACTACAACGGGATAGATATTATAATTTAACTTTATTGACTGCTACTTTTTGACAAACCTTTGTATCTGGGATTAAAGGAACAACTCTCTCTACCTTTACTCAGTGCAAGCTATAGGTGTAACACTGAAAATATATGCCATTGAGATCAATAACAGAACAGGAGTAAAAACTATCAAAATTATTGTGGAAGACACAATATATATTGAGATTCAAATACTTACTTTGGAAGTTGTGTGAAAGCAAGAAATCCAGCTTTGGAGGCAACTAATCTTCTAACAGCTTGGAACTGGCTTTCAAGTTCTGCAATAGATGCTGTAATGTCACCTTCTTGGGACAGTAATGCTGTTATAGCATTATTTATTAGCTTTTCTTTGTTTTCGGAAAAGAGACCCTGAAGGAAGGAAGGAAGAAAGAAAAAAGAAAACAAAGAAAGAACGTGTTTCACCAGCAACAAAAATAATTATGAAAAGAGGGATTGATGTGTTTATTTTCAACTTACATCTTGTGTGACTGCATGCAGAACTCCACTGTATGAAATGTTAGAATTAAACCTAAAGACAGCATCTGCAAAATTGCCATCTGCAATAGAACAAGTAGCAACCAAACATTTAAAAAGTTAGTTTGCTTTCTGGATCTGCAGGAAGACCACAAACTAACTTATAAAGCAATATAAATCCCAAAGACAATACTTACTTGGAGGTGCTGCCAAAAATCTTAGATGAAGGCTTTCAACTTCCTCGTCTACTGGCATACTCAAAAGACCCCACCGCTGCCCTTTTTCTGTTGGTGTCATTTTCACACAAACATCCCTATTACCAGATGCTCTTACTCCATCCAGCAAACTGGCTAACAGTGAATCCCTAGGAAAATTGTTTAATTTTTAGCTAATATTGTCATGAACAGCAAAGGCATGATGCTTTTCTATTGAATTGTATAAAATATGAGGCAGCATTTGCAAACATAACATGCCCTGTAACATACAGTATCAATTTGGCTATATCTGAAACCACATCACCCTTCTGCCTCATGTCTGCCAGGAAGATGGAATAAAGAAACACATTTTCCAAAATTGACATGTGAGGAATTGATAAACAGTTCAAGACGTAACAGGAGATAAATGAACAATTAAATGTATTGCTTGAGGCAAAGCAGTTGACGAGATAATGGACCATATTCTATTTCCTCAATGTCTATATTTATTTGAAAAGACATGCCTTGGGTAAGTTAGCTCCCAAAATGGACAGGATTGATTTGTTTTCCTTGAGTACTAGGTGGTTTATTTTATTTTAGATACACTTTCAGTTATTAACCTATAGTAAAGCTTATTTTCTAGATTACAATTTTAATTGTCTCTAATTTTTTTCAGGATTTGCTAAAGGAATTTAAAAGTAGTGTGTTTTCTTACCAATATAAAAACACAAGCTATATATATGAAGAACTATTTGATTTTGAAAAGTAAAATAAGTAATATATGATGTATGTAAGAATACTACCTAAACTGACATACCAACAAAGTAATTGATAATTCAATAATATTTTAAAATACCTCTCTGTTGAAGAGTATTTTCGGATTTGTCCCTTGATAAATTCTATGGTAAAAAGCTGTGGATTTTCAGAATCGCATACTAGCGCAAATACCTTTAAAGAAAGAGTTCATCAAATAGAACTTGTCACACTAAATCTATTATTCTACACATATTTAAATACCACATTACAAATGCCAATATTTCATAATCTTTTCTAAATTTTAATGTAATTTATGAACTCACAAATTATGTGTATTAGAGTTTCTAAATGAGTGAATCTTGAAGTGAAGCTGATTGTCAGGTTATGCTTCTGCAATCTATTAAACTTTTATTAATTCTTACCTCTCCTAAAGGTTTTAGTGTTGCAATATTGTATGAAGCTGGGTCACGTTCCACCAGGCATGTTTCTGTAAGAGCTAATATCCGTTTCACTGGTTCCTTGAAAAAGACATATTTTACTTAATTAACCATGCAATTAAATAGGAATTATAAACCAGATTAAATGGAATAAATTAAATACTAAGCTCTCCTTATGCAGGTAATCTTCTCCTTATAACCATTTTAAGCTATGATGGTATTGGGAAAAAAATGCTTACAACCGATCCTTTATTTATGAATATAGCAGTGTTCCCATGATCACATGATCAAAATTCAGAGGCTTAGCAATTGGCATGTTATTTATGAATCATAAATAACATGCCAGTTGCCAAACATCTCAGTTGCAGCATTCAATAGCCACATAATCATCCTTTGCAACCTTCTCATGGATCTGCTGGCAAGCAAAATAAATGGGAGAAGTTGGATTTCTTAACAATCCTGGTGATTTGCTTTAAAAGCTTGATAAAAAACGAATACAATTTGGTACAACTCCCTTAATGACTGTATCACTTAACAATGGAAGTCTTGGTCTAATTGTGATTGTAAGCCAAATACTAACTGTATTAAGACGTTTAATGTTAACATATATTGAGGTCCATGAACTACATAAATATATGCAAATGAGATACAAGTTCCTTAAGATTCTTGACATATTTTAATTATAATACAAATCTGCTGTAGGGATTGATTTTTCACATGTATCCAGAAACTGTTCATTTTAGAAAATAGGCCCATTATCCTGATTGACATTGCAGCAAAAATATATGCTAGGTACCTTTTGAACAGAATTGAAATCTGGGAAGAGGAAAACAATATCATCTCAGAAGAACAAGCAGGTTTTAGACAAAGCTGATCTACTATTGATAACTGCTTTGTGTTGAACCATCCCCGTTTGCTGCTTTCATAGAGCTTACAGCAGCATTTGATATGGTAAACAGAGAAGTACTATGGAGTAAACTGACATCTCTTAAAATAGAACCTAAACTGCTGAATTTGATTAAAGCCCTTTACAAAAATACAGTACTTGTTTGAGGGTGCAGTATGGGGTTAATGGGGCTCTGACTAACAGGATTTACACAAATAAAAGGGTAAGGCAAGGGAGTAGCCTACCCCCATTATTTTTTAGTTTATATATCAATGACTTGCCAGGGATAATGGTACACACACATCTAAATACTTACTGAAACAGCTTGCTTTATGCTGATGATATGATTTTATTATCATATTCACAAGTAGGATTATGTCAGAGGTGGATTAAAAAAATTTTTTACAACCGGTTCGGTGGGCATGACATGTGACTGAGTGGGCGTGGCTAACTTGACATTACTCAGTCACATGAACCCTCCCCAACAACCCACGCCCACCGAAGAGGTGGCGAAAAGTTTTAAGGGGGGGGGGCTGCCAGGTTAGGGCTCTTCGCTGCCTTTTGGGGGGGGGTCCCTGCCTTTATTTTGTTCTGTGGCCTACCTCACAGGTAACTTCTCTTTCTGGCCCACAAGCAGAGAACAAGGTTGCTACCTGCCCCACTGCAAGCATCTCTCAGCTGTTTTGTGCAGGAAAAAACCTTGCACAGTAAAGAAAAACTTCCCAAGTTTGAGAAGCTGTTAATTGCCTCAGATTCACAAGGTTTTCTTTACTGTGCAAGGTTTTTTTCTGCACAAAGGGGCAGAGAGAAGCTTGCAGTGGGGCACAATTTGGGCCTAGTGTGGAGTCCAGCACTCCGGGGGGAAGGAAACTTGGCCGCAGCCCACTCCCTGCATGAGGGGCTGCCTCACCCATCCCCCAGCAGGTTCTGCTTCTTCTTCCACTTCTTTGCAGTAAGCAGTGCCACAGCCAAGGAGCAGGCAGGGGGCTGGGTGGGAAGGCAGTGGTTTGCTTTGGAGCCCGAAGCCCTGAGGAGCTGGCATGAGAGGCATGCGGGCCTGGGTAGAAGTCAGCTTTTTCTGCAGCATCCTCCTCCCCTCTTTGGATCACCCTGCAGCCGGGGGCGGGGGTGTGGGCTCTACCTTTGCAGAAATGGGGGCATGTGCAACAGCCCTGGGATATCTACTTGCCCTCCTGCAGCATTGCCGCCGCTGCCCCTCTCAGCCTCAGTACAGCATCTGTGTTTCCACCAAGGGCCAACTACCCAATCACTGGCTAGGCCGGGCTTGACGCCAACCTCAGAATGCAAGCGGGTATGGAGGACCACTGGTAAGGCCACCCTGAAGGCAGGGAAACATGGCAAGGCTGCAGGGAAGGGAGTAAGCTGCTTGCTCCCTTCCCCGCAGACCTGCCATGTTTCCCTGCCGTACACGTCCCTGTCTTCACAAGCTGGCCATGAGGATGCTGGAAAGACAGGGAAGCATGGCAGGGCCATGTGGAAGGGGACAGGGGCAGCTAGCTAAACTGCAATTCGCAGGCTTACCTAGCAGACAGATCAGCAGGCAAGCTGCAGAGCAGAGACTGGGTGGGGCGAAGTGAGCGGCAACTAGAGGACTGTTTCAGGGGCATGGCCAGGCTGCCATTACTACCGGTTCGGAAAGGTACGCCAGATTTTTACTACCTATTCAGCCGAACTGGACCAAATAGATAGGAACCCATCTCTGGATTACGTAGGCTATTAAGAAGATTCAGCTCTTATTGCCAGGATAACTCCCTAACCATTAAAAAATAATGGTGTTTGGAAAACATTATCAGAGACATAGGTGGCAATTAGACAGTGAACCAATTGAACAGGTGAAGGTGTAATATTTAGGTGTAGCTTTTTCCAAAACTGGATCTTGGGCTTGCCATCATCAACGGAGTATACTTAGAACAAATGTCTGTTTTGAATTTACTGCTTAAACTAAAGAACCATAGTTATCCAAGCTCCATAGCCCCATTAATTAAAGTATATAAAACTAAGGTTACCCTTATGCTCTCTATGGAGCAGAAGTTTGGGGTCTATAGTCAACCACAGTCCTAGAACAAATGCAGTTCCAGCATTTGAGATGTATTTTGGGTGTAGATCCAAGAACATCTGCTGCAGCAGTTAAAGCTGAATTGGGAATCCACACAATTAATCCACTATCCAAATTTAGAGCATATAACTACTGGTGCCAAGTCAATGAAATGGAGAATGATAGACTCCCCAAGTTATGTCTACTACAGCAAATAAAATTACAATCTCCTGGATCACCAAACTAAAAAAAAATTGTAAGAAGCTGTGGCCTTCTTGTTGCTTGGGTAATAGAAGAACAACTCAAAAAAAGGGCTGCCCAAAGAATTAAGAATATAAAATAACAAAATGATATAGCTATCTTTAGTAAGATGGATAACTTGAAATGGCAGAGCAAATACAAAGTATTTCAAGTAGACATCTCTTTGAAGTTACAATTGCCAAAATATCTAAGGGAGATATTTACGCAAGCAAGATTCAAACAGCCTGACACAATGGTCAGATATGGGAGATTCCATTCTATACCCTACACTCTACATTTGCAGAGTGGCAGAGATAGAAGACCTGGCTGACATCCTATTTGATTGTTGCTTGTATAAGGGGGTGAGAAACAGGTACCTTGATCTATATACCAAACGAATAACACATTGGATCCCCACATCAAAACAACTTACTTTATGTGTGGCCAGAAAATAACATTTAACACAGGGCAGTACTTAAACAAAATGGTTCGGTTGAGATCTGCATATGTGGGACTGATTGGGGTAGATTGTAAAGATGACACTGAAATATAATTTTATGTAATTTTATTCTATTTTACATATTTATGTATTAAATTATATTGTATCTTATCCTATAACTATTGTATTTTACCCTATCCTTATTTTAAATTGTTCGTATTGGATTTTATAATGATTTGTTTGAACCTTGTGCTTTGATATGGCTTATAGGCTAATCAATAAAGCTTATTATTATTATTTTAGAAAATAGCAAATAGACTTTGACTCAAATACAGTTAATATTTATAAAATAAGCTTACCTGGATCTCTTGATCAACCAAAAAGCAAAACAAAGTTGGTACTGCTAATGGGTCTAGTTCAAATATATATCAAGTAAACTGTATACTGAACACTTTTGGTACATATCAAGCCTTTAAAACTTTTTCTAAAAACAGTTGTTCAATTAAAATGATAAAAAAGTAGCAAAAATGCATATCTCTATTATCTTTTGGTTAAAAAGTTTTTTTTATCTCAGTGCTAATTCAGCATTTTGAAAGTTCATACATTTCACCTGTGAAATTACATCTTTATGCCAGCATCTATATACATTTTCCTCAAGAGAAACACCATTTATTGTAACATTGCACACTAAATGAGACATATTAGGTAATACCTACTATTTTATATATTTATAAATTACATTAGACATTTTCATTTCTTATTTTAAAATTGTTCAAAGATCAAATAGTTTTTGTTGTGATAAGTACAAGAAAATATATAAACCAGTGAGTCAGTAAACATTCTTCAATGTGGAGAAAACTAGGCATAAAACTGTTGCTCAGCCACATAGTGCAATTCTGGAAGCAGCCACCAATCACCAAATTGATTTCTGGTAGCTGTAAACACTGCTGCCATTTTCAGAAATCCACCACGTGGCCACACAATGATGCAACCCATTCAGACACTCTGGAAGGTCTCAGAGTTCTTAAAAAGATATGCAGAGAATCTGGATCTTGGGATAGTGGGAATCAGGTTGAAGGACTGTAAGAATTCTGGAGGAGAGAGGAAAGGCTTGCAAGGACCCAAAGGGAGGGAGCAAAAGCCTGTGGAGACCCAGTGTGGGAAGGAAAATCCTCCAAAAACCTGGTGGGAGGGAAAAAGCCTGAAGGACCAAGTGGGAAAGGAAGCAGATCTCTCTGAGATAGGGTGGCTTTGGAGGTCCAGATATCTCCGAGTACAGATATCTCCGAGATGGGGTGGCTTTGGAGGTCCAGGGCAGGTGGAGACACCCTGTGCTGGAAAACACGTTTGTTTAATAGGAAGAGCAGGGGATGAGAGTCATTAAGAGAGGCCATTCTTGCTTAATGTGACTATAACTGACAGGTTTCACTATGATCTTATTTTGTCTATATTTTTGTAGAAGGTGTGAGGTTACAGACTTCTACAAAGATTGAATTATTACAAAGTTGGATAGAGAAAAATAAATGACAGCAATGAACAAGCATATATAAAAAAGAGTATTTGTAGATCTTGCAGTCTATAGATCTTACCGCATGCCTTGGAGATATCTTTTGGACCACAAATTCTGCTAAAGATGTAATATATTCATCACTGCTGTATTTCCCAAAACGAAGACTCAAATACTGCTCAAATTCTAAAGGCTCCTTTCGAGTTCTCAAGGAGATGCCAATGTAATTGCCAGCATGTTCGATTGCACTTTTAATAATGTCTTCCCTTTGCTCAGAAGCAAATAAATGCTGCAAATTTAAAATAAATACCTTAAATACCTAAAATAAATATTCTAAGAATATTGTTAAATATGAAAGATTTTATAGTTTAAAAAACAAAGTGGTGTGTAAAACTAAAAAAAAGTGTGATGCTATATTAAACAATACTCATTGCTGCATTATCAATACTGAGTTAAAATAGTCAAAGAAAAAATTGTTTCCTTTCAAAAAATAAAAGTAAAAGTATTATATAAAAGTAATATTTTATTAATAGAGCATATAGTAATATAGTTACAGTAATTAAGTTCAAAATTTCATTTAGGTAATTATGACATAACATATATCAAAACAATCTCATTTTTTAAGAACAAACAAGTATACTAAATGTTAAACATAGGTAAAATAGGTATTTTATAATACTTACTAATCTACTAAATCCTCCATAAATTATACAAAACCCTCCTGGATAATCAGACAGATCAACAAATCCTTCAATATATCTATAGTCATAAGAACACAGGATTTTATTTGTTGTAGGATTAATTTGGTCAAAACTTCCCGGAGTCACTTCTAGAATTACAGGTTTTCTTGAATCACTCCAGTGGTGCTTATAACTGTTGTATCTCTATGATAAAAAAGGAGTAGTTTAAAAATGAGGTGTAATAATTCTATTAGCTGAAAAAAGTATAGACATATTCTGTGAATGCTGATGGTTTCAGTAGATCAAATTTAAGAAGCACACTAGGGCTTCTTCATAGACTATATTTTTCTTTAGAGATCAAACCATAAAACAAAAGCAGGACATTTGTTTCAGGATGAGGCCAATATATAAGGGTTTCTGTATACCAGAAAAATAGGATCAACAGTGTTCTCAATACTGTGTACAAACAGTGAAATATTACATATGTAATATGTAACAACATGAAAAAGAATACAAGTGGGAAAATGGAATGTTGCATAACAAAATGTTTCACACAGTCCTACAAAAATACGCTTCAAATAAATTGGCTTCAATGCACTGAAAACTCAAAATATAATTAAATCTGTCTTTTGATTAAAGTTCTAAAATGCAATCTAAAACAGACTAAAGCTAAATTACTTTCTCAGATATAACAATATTTGGATTTTTTCCACTTTTTGCAGAACAATGCAATCACATGATAACTATCAGAGCAGAGTAATAGCTGACAGGAAGGAAGAGAAAATGAAAAATCTACTGCTACTTCTTTTGTGGTCAGTAGTTGAGATCAGATTTGTGTTTATCCTTCCCTGAGATATTTCCTCCAAGATAGAGATTGTTTTCAAGTGCCATATATTCTTCTACCTCAGTGAATGTTTCAAACTTATCAAATTTAAGTGTGTGGACTTAACTCCTAATTGCTGAATAATTCTGAGAGTTGAAGTCCACACAACTTAAAAACACCATGTTTGAAAAATGTTGCTTAGAAGAAGGCCTCTTTTCTTCTGCTACTTCCAGAACACCAATTTACCCTTAGCATACATATGTTGTAATCTAATTTAATCTAAATTATCTGTGAGAACTTCAGCATGAAAGGAAATCTAAAAAGTAATTAACTAATATTTATTTTCTTATTCAAAACACAAAAAATACTTACCCTTCCTGTGATTTTTCCTTCGGCAAAATCAGTTCTAAATCGCTGAGACAGAGAGGAAAGAGAAGTAATCAACAAAAGATGCCCAAAGAAATTATATTATGTAGGGAAATTGTGTGCCTTATATTGTATAACATAAACCAATGTTCATTTTAGCCATGACTTGCTAGACAAGCTAGAACTTTGGTTTATGTATATTAATTTAAATAATGTTTTATAAAGCAGAATAACTGGTTTCATAAATCACATTAATTCAAAATCAAACAAACAAACCATTTTATTGATTTCAACAACTCACATCTGAGAGCTTTCAAACAATTGAAAACCAATATTATTAAGATCATTGAACAAGAAAGACAGAGATCTCTCAGCCCCAGAATTTTCTGGTGACTTTAAAATTAGTCATTTTCCCTCAGCTCCATTACCTCACTGGTCTGATTTTCTAAACAAAGGGGGATCTGTACTTTATCTATCTCTTTATATTTAAATGGCTGTGTGAGTGAGTGAGTGTGTGTGTGTTCTAGCGTAACTCTGGAATGCCTGGAGCAATTTCAACCAAACCTGGTACACAGATGACTTACTCTCTGGAGAAAAATACTGTGGGGGTAAGACACCCCTAATAACCCCTCAGAATGTGTATTCTGCTAAGATGCAGTCTGTTGTGCTTTTCAATGGCTTCTACTGTACAGAGTGGAGTAGCCATGGTAGCGGCTTCACAGTACTCCCCAAAGGGGTTCCTTCTGGTAAGGGGTAAAATCCAACATCAGAGATTACATTTGATCCAGACATTTTCCCCCTATAAATAAATACCCGGGCGACTCCAGGTTATCGGGTAGTATAAGCAAAATATGAAGCACATGATCTGCATCCAAGGCTGCACTTAATAAAATATGCGTTTCATATTATAACAACTGGAGAAATGTATGAAAATAAATCAAATTCAAAAAAATCCAAAAATAATGTTCTGTAGCATGTGCAAGAGATTGTCATTTTATTTATACTGTAAATACAGCGCAAAAATACAAAGAATTTAGTTATTTAAATCAATAAATCCTACCAGTGCTTCAGTAAGAAGTTCTGCTCTGTGTTCTGTAGAAAACTTAAGTGTTTCAGATTTTTTACCACTTCCTTTACGAAATGTGAGGCTGAATTCTGTTCCTTGTCCTTTTCCAACGGGACTGATGCTACAAATGTCTCCATATGGCCACTAAGTCAAGAAATCACAATCTGAGAATATTCCATTTTATCCCCACAGAATTTGTGTTCTTATATCAATATGTACTATTTCCAAAATTTCCCTAGCTTGATAACATAACATATTTTTAATTAACTATTTCCTAAACATAAATCAAATCTTATCCCAGTGTCTCATATATTGTCATTACAAGTTACTAGCTTTAAAATGTAAATTATAAGGTGAACATAGAGACAATTGTTCCTTCTGAAATGCTGATGTGAATTACAATTGCAGGCCATTAGAAGGATGGTAAAGCATTTCAAAGAGTGTCATATTGTGTTGCTAACTACAGGCACCTATTCTGAAATTCCAGGCTCCTAGTTAATATTTCCCAAATATGAAAAGCCAAGCAAAATAAATTTCTATTGCATTTATTAGTATAATAACGTAAATAATATAATACTGTATAATAATGTTTATATAATTGACTGTTCTATTTAATAAGAAAGACAGCTATGATTCACGTTCTCAAATAAACAAAACATTTAATTCTATATCTAATCATTGCAATCATTTTTTAAAATGTTTACATATTTAGCCCCTTTAACATCAGTCTCTTCAAGACTTTCATATTGGATATTTATTTGGTACCCAATTATGGTACACTCATTATTCCAAATGTTTAATTATTATAAAAGATATTAATAAAAATTAATATGGAAATGTGATCTGTAGAACCTACATATCAGTGTAGGTTAATTTAATTACAGTGGTGCTTAATTGTTTGTGAATCCTCGTTTCTCTATAAATACGATATAAAATGTGATCTGTTCTCCATGCAAGTCCTAAAACTAAATAGAGAACCCAATAAAATTAAACATTATTTATGGAAAAAAATGATCTAAAGCCACATATTTGAGTGTGGCAGATTTCTCTTCTCCTCTGAAAATCAGGCTGAAAAATATTATAAACCTCTTTCTAAAGAGTATGGACTGCATAAGTCCACTGTCAGGCAGACTACGTAAATGGAGGCAATTTAATAACACTATTACCCTCTCCAAAAGTGGTCAACTAACCCAGATCATTCAAAGAACATGGCATATAATATTCCAGGCCTCAGAAAACTTCAGCGCAACAAATAAGGAATCTTTTGCATTGCTCAATATCAGTGTTCATTTACACCACAATCAGATAAACCTAAACAAAAGTGGTAGGTATATGGCAGGATTGCAAGGATAAAGCCATTCTTCTCCAAAAAAGAACATTGCTGCCTATTGACAGTTTGTGAAAGACTGCAGGAATAAGCCAGAAGGTTATGTGAAGAATGTTCTGTGGCTGGATAAGACAAAAAATAAAACTTTTTTGCCTCAATGAAAACACGTTTGGTGAAGGGCATTCCAGCGTAAGAATCTTATCCCATCTGTGATATGTGGTGATATTATCATGGCAGGACAGGAAACAATGGTTGGAAAATAATTAAGGAGAGAAGCAACCTGGAACTAATGAGAAACTTCCTAATGAGGACAATTAACCAGTGAAACAGCTTGTTGCCAGAAGTTGTGCGTGCTTTATCACTTGAGGTTTTAACAAGAGATTGGACAGTCATTTATTTGAAATGGTAGAAAGCAGGGATGTCAAACTCTGCTGGCCAAAATGGTCCTCCGCATGGCCCATTTTTGGCCAGCAGAGTGCTGTTGAAGGCCGGGGAGTCTGAAACAGGCTGCAAGAAGGCCTCAGGAGGCCTCCTCGTGGCCTGTTTTGACTGGCAGTGTTGCAGGCAGTCATGGAGGGTGAAAATGAGGATTAGGGTTAGGCGTGCCCACTCCGTTTTGGCCAGTAAAATGCTGGAGGCTGTTCAGGCTGAAAATGGGGTAGAGGGGACTTTGTGTGGCCGTGTGCGGTTCCCCCATGCCCCATTTTGGCCAGAAGGTTGCTGCAGGAGGGATCCATCCCATCTCCCCCCCTGCTCCCTGCCCCCCAACCGGCCCAGAAGAGAACTATAATGCTGATCCGGCCCTTGAAGAAATCCAGTTTGACACCCCTGCTATAGGCAAATGTACAGGACTGATCAACATTCATTATATTTTAGAATCTGAAGTTCTAACTATTGCTATCCAAGGTAGGCATACAACAGTTATTGAAAGCAAAGGTTCACATGTTTTTGCTACCCACTGAGGTATGTAGCTTTGGACCATTTTCCTCAATAAATAAGAATATTTTTCACTTATTTGTTTAATTGTGCCCCTTTATCTAGTTTTATGATGTGTGGAAAACAGATTCTTAGGCTATATTTCGGCAAAAATATTGGACATTCAAAAGGATTCACAAACTTTTAAGCACCTCTATGCATCTTACAGCTCTACCTTCTGCAAAGCAAATATTGAGTCATCATGTACAAAATAAATTACAAATTATTCTAATTTATAATCTATAAAGTTTCAAATAAACCCACAAAGCAGGATGAAAACTAAGAAATTAAAATTAATAAATATGAAGTATCACTTTAATAACTAGCAACTATTATCATCTAATCCCATAAAACCAACTCAATCTTTTATCAATTTTAAATAATAGTTATACAACTTCATAATTCAGTATTCCTGTTTAGAGAAAAATGAGCTAAATGGTCATAAAATATATGTTGCTATTTTCCTAACTGGACATTTTTTTTAAAAAAAGTTAATTATTCTGAATATATATCAAGCAGCATAAATTCATTTTATGTTTATTAATTTATGCAAGTGAGACAATATTCTTTTCATTCTCTGAATCATTTTCACACAGAAGTTAATAAATACTCTTTGGGGGAATATATTTCTAATTACCTGATTTGTAACTTCTAATGTATTAGGATTGTATGTTGTGATGGCATGAGTTCCAACTGAAAAGACTCGTTTATACCTATATTAGCACGAGAAACAAGGCTTTAGATTTACATGAAAATACACAGAATGTTATCTATATTATTACCTAGACTAGTGATGGCTAACCTTTTTTTCCTTGGGTGCTGAAAGTGCATGCGTGACAACATGCATGTGAATGCCGATACCCATAGTGCAGTGCCCCCTGCAGGCCCTGCTATCACACCGCGTTTTCCCCACATATGCATGTGCCCCCGGGCCACATTTTGCTACTAGCAGGCCTTCCTGAAGACTCCTGGGACCAAAAACGGGGATGGCTTTGGCTCTCCCCTAACAAGAGAAGATTGGTACCCAGCCTTGACTTGAAATGGGGAGCTGCTCCAGATCCTCATTCCCCAAATGAGTTTGCCGCATTCAATGGGAGGGGGAGACCAAAAAGAGAGCGAAAGCCATCCCCAAGCTATTAAACTAAAATATTCCAAGCATTATGAATCACATGCTCCTTTGGGCCAGGAAGGTGGCGTTTACAAGCTACATGAAGTTGAGCTGTCCATCTTGTGACGCAAGTCCAGAGAACAGCAAGATGGGGGGGGGGGGTTTTCTGGAAAGAGGGGAGGGCCATCGTTCCTCTATTTCTGAGAAAATGAGTGAGCAAGGCAACGATTTAGCATCCAAACAGCTGGGCTTCCCTAACCATCATACTCCTGATGAGCAGGGATGACTATACGCTCTTGTTTCTCGCCTCTGTTACTAATGTCACTGGCCACAAAGGACATCCGTTTGGAGAAGAGGCGGTTTTCACCTGGTGTCCGTAATTCGGAGCCTCTGGTCTGGCCTTGGAGCGGAAAAGGCAAGCATTAAAAAATGAATATCCTGCAGCCTGTTTTTCATCCCAGGAGGCTTCAGGAAGGCCCACTATCACTAAAACGGGGTTGGGAGGGCTCCCTCCTTACTTTAGCTGAGTGACTGAATGCTTTTTAAAGTGGAGAGCCACCACTGATTTCCAGGGCCTTTCTGCCCCAACAAGAATTAGAAAGTAAGCAGAGCAAATGAGGGTGGAACCGAGTTTTTTCCGGAAAGTCGGAGGAGCAATCAGCTCATTTAACTGTACAAGAGGTCCAAGCAAGGTATGTTTGCACAGGTTGTGCACTCTGTGCGCTCTTACTGCTGAGCTCAAGTAACTGCATTCGTGCATGAGCCCCCACACTTGTACACATCCACATCACTCTTTAAGGAGGAAACAGGTGAGAAAAGCCGTCTTAATGGCCAAAAGCACTTGAAAGCAGCCGATGGAGCGCAATGTTAATTAACTGTCTCTGAGAGATCTCACCTGTTGCCATTTTTCAAGCCAAAGGCACTTAGGAGACACATACGCACTCAGGAAGGAAAAAGATCAGATGGAGAAAGGGGTGAAGAAGCAATGGCCATTGTCCCCCCTTGCAAATGTGCCGCAGCCAAGTGCCACCACCTTTCTGGTCCCTTTCTCGGCGATTCCCACTCAGGGGTGAGAAGAAGAGGCAAGCAGGCTTTTTAGGGAGTTATCCTCACCCAGCAGCAGCTGAGAGAGTCAATCTTGCAAACTCATTTGGCCAACACATTTGAGGAATGAGGATCCAAGTGGATCCATTTTGGGCCTTGCAGGCCTCCCTGAAGTCTCCTAGGACCAAAAACAGGGTGTGGGGGGAACGCACTGCACACACCCCTCCCCCCGCATTTGTGCATGACCCCCTGCGCTCCCCCATTCGTCTCCTGCAGGCATCAGAGACCCGGAAATCTGCTGGCCGGCAGGAGGTGCACACACATCTGTGGTGGATCTGAGTTGGGCAATGGCTCACATGCCCGCAGAAAGAGCTCGCAGAAAGGTGCCATAGGTTTGCCATAGGTTTTCACAGTGCTAGACTATATAAAGGTGTACAAGTTATATTTTTATGTTCTATATTTATTAAAGCATGCTGCTATGGTTCATAAATCTTATAATAGCCATAATATATGAGAACCAGTTTGGTGTAGCGGTTTATTCCTGGCCTAGAAACCAAGTCTGTGAGTTCTAATCCTGCCTTAGGCATGAAAGCCAGTTGCGTAATTTTGGGCAATTCATTCATTCTATTTCAGCTCTGCTCATCTCACAGAACTGTTATGGAGAAAATAGGAGGAGGAAAGAGAATTATGTATGTTTGCTGCCTTGAATTTCTTATACAGTAATAAAAGTGGATTAAAAATTGAATGAACAAAAATATATTATGATATAGAAATTATACAATATTAAAATTATCACATTTATCGTACAATAAGTATATACTGTAATAGTATATGTAATATGATTTGTTTTCATTTAAGATAACGGGTGAATCTACCCATAGCTTAATGTTAATTCCAACACTTTATTCAACAATCAGAGATAAAACAAAAGTATGGCTTAATATGAAATGTTAATTAGGCTATTATACAATAATCATCTGAAATAAATGCCACCAATATTTAAAAAAATGAGAAAGAATATTAATGTCAATATACAAAACAAAATTACATGGGAAAATTATTATATAATATATATGAAAAAGAATGTCTCATAAAAACAGTAATATCAGGGGCAGGAGGAGGAAGGGAAGAAGAAGAATGCACTTGAAATGAAGCGAATATGTTGCTGAATCTTTAACTCAACTGACAAAAACTATAAGCAGGTGTCAGAAAAAAATTATACAAGAACTTGCTAATAAAATAGGAGTATGCAGAAAATGTGGCATGTTCCATTTCCATACCCATTTCAGGATATTTTACTGATACAAATGTATTTTTTACTTGTCCTAACTTTTCCAACAATTATTAACAGGCCAACTACAGGCCAACTTAGATTTCATTGTATGGGTGTAGTGTATATGTGTTTAGAATTATTTACAAGTTTCAAAGTTTCTACAAGCCAGTAATTCTTTGCTCTTATGCATTAATGTGCTGTCAGGCATGAACAATCAGACTTATATGTGTAAACTTCAAGCTGACTACTTTATTATGTTTTGCCTATAAAACAGGAAATTTTCCAGTCTGGCAGTCTACTTCTGGGAACAATTATATAAGGTTTCAAGGAACTTGAGGGGGTTTGGCCTTAGCTTTTTTGCAGTTGTGTATGACTCCAGGCTAGCTCTATACTTGAACCCTCCTCATTGCCAGCCTATATGTTTCTCAACATGTGCTGACAATTCAAAATATAAATTTCAGCTCATAGCTATGTTACTTACCTTCCTCTCCATGAATGCTTTGTTGTATAAAAGCAGGCCAAATCTTTATTTTCTCTAATTATGTTCATTTTGTGCTACAACCTGCAACAAAAAAACTTAGTATTAAAAAATATTAGCTTCAATAATTTTTGCTTTAGTAATTTAATGTTTAATAAATGTTACATACTAATTTGAAACTTTAAGCAGAACGCATACTTATTGTGCTCATAAAGGGATGCTTATATTATTTTTTTTAATAGCCAAATCATATTTTCTGATTTCCCAATACCCCTTTAGGTTACCAATCATGACTTGGGTTTATAAGCCTGTTATGATTTGTTTTCTAAATTTAATTAAATTTCATATTACATGAGATTACAGCACTTCAGATGGTATATTCCTTTTACTATCGCTACATGTTATAAAATGTAAAGATAGTAAAAGGAATATATAAACTGAAGTGCTGTAATCTCATGTAATTTTCTGTATATTTTCTTTATTTTGTTTTGGTTTTATGCTGACACACTCTAACTTTCTTTGCATTTAAAATCATCTGTTCAATCATCTGTTTTATACCATGCCTGCCACTAGACAAATTATTTGAAAAATATTTCAGAAAATTTGAAAAAGAACAAGAAGAGTATAATAACAAGGGTTAAGAATTGGTTACAATATACTAAACCATTTCCTGCAATACATTTTGCTATTTGAACATTTCAGTCAAATATATTTAGCTTTAGCAATTAAAGCACCTAACCACATTGCAATTTTTGACACAAAGGAACAGTATGGTTGAAATAGACTTCTAACTGCCTGCAATAAAAATTATAAATTACAATAAATTAATAGTACACATATAAAATTTAAAATAGATTTATAAAATGACCCACATTCAGGAATCAGATGAAATATTTAAAAGTCTGAGAAAATTGTTTTACAACCCTTTAATCCCTTTATTTGGGGTGGAGTCAGGACATCTGAATGGAGCTGAGTGTTTACTGGCTGGATGCCCTTCTGACTCTATGCATAGTTCACAGCAGATAACTTCACAGCAAATATTTTCTTTTTTTGCCCTGATAGAGAAACATCTGATTCTGCCTAGGATTGAACTCTCAACCTTCCAAGTGGGAGGTTAGTGTCATTACACCAATCAAGTCTGAAAAAATAAAGAAGTATATACACAATGCTAGAAGGACACTGCAGTAAATCTCCAACAGTATTTGAGACAAAAGGTGACAGTAAGTGTTTGGAAGTACAGTGTAGCTTTATGCTGGAAATTTTTTACTGTTTAATCATTGAGTAATGGCTGCAAGACGGAATGTTAATTTTAAATTGTTACTTTTAAAAAGAGAAGATGTGAAGAGGCTATATTTTGTTCAAATAAGTAATTGAAGACTAGAAGATTGTAATAAGAGTGATATAAAGTAGAAATAAAAAATGTAAGGCTACATGGCATGCTTAGCCATTCTTTCAACATTGAGCAGGAAGTAAAACAGGAAAGTGTGATTACTCTATAGTTTAATATATTTATGCAGAGATGTACCAAAAGTGAATACAATGATCATAAATATATGAATATTTTGAATGCAAATAATAAATAGTATAGTTAAGAATATCAATGCATCAAAAATAAAAACAATTGTATTTGACAAGAAAATGGGCGTTGGTTCCTACCTGATACGCCCTTTCTCAGGACGGTGGAGACATCATCCAGGCATGGGTATGACTCCGTCAGGATCCAATACAACTGGGTTTACAAGTATTAAAGATATGCCCACGAGGCTCCTCCTCAGAAATAGATGAAGGACTGACTTGTAGACCACTGTGTAAACTATTTGAAATGATAGATATGATCTCTCCCCAAGGAAAATAGTGGAGAAGAAAAACCAGGAGTAAGTCAAAGTAACAGGGTGGGGCTGGATGATGTCTCCACCATCCTGAGAAAGGGCGCATCAGGTAGGAACCAACGCCCATTCTCCAAGTAGGTGGAGACATCATCCAGGCATGGGACATACCAAAGCCCAATAGTCCCATTGGGAGAGAATGGAATAAAATAAGAAAACTTAAGTAGAAACCACACGCTGCAACACGCACCATCCGAATGAAGTGTCTGCTGAGGCGTATCTATCAAGCTTGTAGTATCAGATGAACAGAGAAATTGAGGTCCATGTGGCCGCTCGGCATATCACCTCCAAGCTTGAGATGACCAGGTCACAGAGGTGGCCACGCTGCGTGTGGTGTGCGCCATGATATGAGGTGGAACAGGCAGAGAGAGAGCAGAACACGCCCTAGAAATAGTCGCCTGTACCCAACAACCAATGTTTGAAGAGGAGGCCTTAGAGCCTCTCTTACCTCCAGGATGGAACTTGATGAAAAGAGCCTCAGATCGCCTGAAAATAGTTCGTTTAATATAAACATGTAAAGCACGTCGTACATCAAGGTAGTGCCACTTACATTCCAGCTTGTGTGATGGCTGAGGACAGAAGTCAGGGAGCACCAATTCCTGGGTTCTATGGAATACAGAATGTACCTTAGGTACAAAGGCCAGGTCAAGCCGAAGGACTACCTTAACCGGATGAAAGATGCATAAATCTTGTCTGATGGACAAGGTTGCCAACTCAGAAACTTGCCTCGCTGAGATAATGGCTACAAGAAAAAACACTTTTAATGTCATGTAAAAACACAGAATGCAAAGGATCAAATGGAGACTGATTCCAGGACTATGGAGACATCCCAGGTCGGGAATCTGTGTATTGTCGGCGGCTTAATATTTGTGGCACCTCTCAAGAAACGACGAATAAGAGGTTCATGAGAAAGGGGCTGAGCAGAAGTCAGAGAGATGACTGAGGACAGGGCTGCGACCTGGCAGCGAAGAGTATTTGGCGAAAGTCCTAGATCCAGCTCGTTGCAGAAACTGGAGAATGTAAGGAATAGAGCCTGTAGAGGACGATGACCTTTGTATGGCACCAGACAGAGAATTGAGTCCAAGTGGCATCGTAAATGCGGTTAGTAGAAGATCGTCTGAAGGCTTGAATTGTGTGAATGACCTTGGCGGACAGGTTCGCAGTCCTTAGAGCTTCCCACTCAACCTCCAAGCGGTGAGACGCAACCAAGGTAGGTAGAATGACCCTTGGAGGAGTAGCGAGGGGAATTGAGGCAGTTGCTACGGTGGAGCTACAAAGAGGTTCATGAGGTCGGCAAACCAGGGCCTGCGGGGCCACTGGGGTGCAATCAAGATTAGTTCTGCCCTTTCCACCAGCAGTTTTCGCACCATTTGCTGAATGAGAGGGGTAGGGGGAAAGGCATACAGAAGGCCCAGAGGCCACACGCTCCTCAGAACAGCCACACCCTCCCCACCTGGAGTCGCATAGCGTGCAAAGTACCTTGGTAGCTGAGTGTTGTCCTGGGAGGTAAAGAGGTCGAGAACTGAAAGTCCGAACCTGACCGTAAGTTGTTGGAAGATGCGCCGATGTAAGCTCCACTCTCCTGGATTGATGTGCATGTAGCTGAGGTCATCTGCCTGAATGTTTTGGGCCCCTGATATGTGCTCAGCCCGGAGAGACAACAGGTGGGTTTCCACCCAAAATATCAGTTGGAAAGACAGAGTCTGGGATTTTGTCCCCCCCCTGCCGGTTTTGTGTGCTTTGGTGGTGGTATTGTCCATAAGGATGAGTACGTGCACATTGGCCACGAAAGATTCAAACCGAAGCAGGGCGAGAAACACGGCTCTTAGCTCCAACCAGTTGATACTGTTCCTCTGGTCAGAGAATGACCAAAGGCCTTGGGCCGTGTGCGACAGAATGTGAGCTCCCCAGCCTTGCAGACTTGCATCCATTGTTAGAGTGATGCATAAGGGGGGGGGCGCAAAATAGAGATCCCTGTTCCACGGCAGGGGAGAGCCACCAGTGCGGGGATCACCTTCCAAGGTCAGGCGAATTCTGTGTGTCAAGCAACTGCAGTCTGCCTTCTGATATGGGAGCAGCAGCCATTGGAGCTGGCGACTGTGGAATCTGGCCCACGGAACGATGTGGAAAGCGGACACCATCTTTCGCAGAAGTTGAGACAGTTGAATGAGAGGAACCATCTGTTGGCCGTGGATGGATGAGACAAGGTCGCGAATGCTCACCTGCCTTTCTGGAGATAAGAATACCTGTTCCAGAGAAGTGTCTATCACTGCCCCCAGGTGCGTGAGACAAGTTGTGAACTGCAGGTGACTCTTCTTCAAGTTGACCAGAAAGCCATGGTCCTCTAGGATCTGAAGGGTGAGCTGGACATCCCGGTGGGCCTGATGTGATGACCTGGATAGTAATAAAATATCATCAAGATAACATTCTAACCGGCAGAGATCTGAGATGGGCAGCCAGAGCAGCAAGGATCTTAGTAAAAATCCTTGAGGCCGAGAATAAGCCGAATGGAAGTGTTTGGTATTGGAAATGATTCCCTTCATAAAAAAAACGGAGAAATTTCCTGTGATCTAGAAGAATAGGGATATGGAGGTATGCCTTTGTGAGGTCAATGGAGGAGATAAGGTCATTGGATCGAATGCTCTCCAGAATGGACAGCAGAGAGTGCATTTTAAACCTCCGGTAGACTATAAATTTGTTTAGAAATTTGAGGTCGAGAATTGCTCGCCAACCTCCCGAAGATTAGGCACTATGAAGAGACGGGAATAAAAACCCCGCCCCTGTTGCTCAAGGGGCACCTCCTCGATGGCTTGAATTTGGAGGAGATGGCCGATAGCTAGTTCAACCAGATGTTTTTTGGAAATGTCTCTAGAGACAGGACATGGTACGAAAGTCTGCAGGGGACTGGAGAAATTCCAGGGCCAGGCCAAAATGGACAGTACGCCTGATCCAGAAGTCGTTGGTGATGTCATCCCAGCAACCAGCGAAGGCTGACAGACGGCACCCAATAGGGAGGTTTTCAAAGATTTCATTTCTGCTTTCAAAAGGTACGGTTTGAGCCGCTCTTGAAGGCCTTTCTATCAGAGAATCGCTGGCAGTTCCGGTTGGACCTGTCTTGGGGGAGCCTGTCGCTGAGGATGGGGGTAGGCAAATCCCCCATCCGTCCCATGAAAGGACAACCTGCGGAAGAAAGAAGAAGGTTTAGGGTCAGTCTTACAGTTTGCAGAAGGAAGCATCTTGCGCTTGTCCTTGGACTCTACCAAGTGAGGTTCCAAAGGCAGACCAAAGAGCAGACTGGGTGAGAAAGGGGCAAATGCCAAACGCCACTTTGCTCTGGCCTCCGCCTGGCATTGCTTCAACCAAAGAAGACGCCTCATGGTGATTGTAGAAGCCATCTGGAGGAGAAACGAGCCGCATCCAGAGAAATATCCGCCACGTACTCCGCCACCTGAGCTTGTTGATATCCTGGTGAGCGCAGGAATCGTCACTTTGAGCTTGTTGATATCCTGGTGAGCGCAGGAATCGCCAGGAGGGATCCTGTCCTGCATCTGCGTCAGTCAATGAAGAGCCACCCTATTGAAAAAGGAAGCAGAAGAGGCGACCCTGACCGCCCATGTGGCAGACTGATAGGCCTTTACCAGTGATTGCTCAAAGCGTTTGTCCTCAGGACGGAGAGCGTCCTCTGGAGCATTGGTGGCCGCATTGGGAGATGACTGAGAGACCACAGGAAGATCAATGAAAGGAACCTCCAAAAGTTTAGAGAGCTCTGTGCTGACATTTGTCCAGAGTAGAAGGGAGGGGTTCTGACCCCAGAGACACCCACTGGTTTTGAATTACTTCCAGGAATAGTTTTGGGGAAGGAACTATATCCTTTTCAACGGGTGGACGTGAAAAGAGTGGATCTGTGGTGTCAAATTTGTCGACCTCTGCAGAGGAGAATGGTTTTGAGGCCAGAATACCAGAGACCTTTTTGGCCTTAAACAAGAGGGAGCAAAACAAGGCAGGCTTGAACAGGCCCAATAAGGCAGAAGGAGCAGGAGTCAAGTCCTCATCCTCTGACAGGAAATGGCCACCACAGATTTCACACCTAATTCAAACTGCCGCCCAGGTAGACCGGGCCCTGAGGAAGGGCTGAGGTAGCAAGCCGACAAGGTGGATTATTGGAAGACAATTAGCTGCCTGCTAAACGCTCCGGCATCAGGAACAGAATTTGAAACCGTATGAAGGACGCTGCTGGGGCAGCAAGAAGAGGCGGTGGCATGCGAAACGCTGATTCCTGTGACTGCCGCGATTAGAAGCGGCTTTTCCGGCGGTGCAGCTGCAGCGATCATCTCGTCGGGCGGCACGGCTGCAGCATTTGGCTCCTTTGGCAACTGAGAGATTGGTCTTTTGGGCAGCACGGCAGCGGTGAGAGACAATGAAAGGAGCCTGAGGGAAAACCTCATAGGCTGGCCACCAATGCTCTCCGTTGCTGAAGCAACCAAGCCAGAGAGAGACAAAAGCCTCCTAGAGGCTGCAACGCCTTAAAGGAGAGAAGAAGTAGCGCAAATCGAACACAATTTGAGAGGAAGCCAATTAAGAGAATTTTTGGAAAGATTTTAGAGAAATTTTAGAGAAAAGGTGATTAATTAGCAAGGAGAGATACAGAGACACAGCTAATCAAAGGATTGACTGAGTCTATTTCTGGGGAGGACCCTCGTGGGCATGTCTTTAATACTTGTAGACCCAGTCGTATTGGATCCTGATGGAGTCATACCCATGCTTGAATGAGGTCTCCACCTACTTGGAGAATGGAAGGGAAAAAAACCACCAGAGCAAGAAGAGAAATGCAGAATTTCTAAAGGATGGACAAATTTTAAGATTTGCAAATGTAGGTAGAAAGTGTTGAAAAGGATGTTTGTTAAAGGAAATAAATACGGCAATGCACTAGAACCTTGATGGTGAACCTATGGCACGGGTGGCACATGTGCACCTAGCAGCTGTACTCTTCTGGGTTCTGCTGCACATGTGCACACTGGAACCCAAAAAGAAGCAGCTAGCCGCTGCAAATGCACGCAACAGAACCAGAAAGAGCTACACACATGCGCATCAGTCAGCTGCTCTTTTTCAATTTCTAGTGCTCTGGCGCAAGCGCTTGTTTCGGCACTCAGTGCCGAAAAGGTTAACCATCACTGCACTAGATAATGCTTCTACCTACTTTGATATATGGAAATGGAAACGCAATATTTCATGAAAAACATAAAAATAAACTGAAGGTAGCTGGAATGAGGTACCTAAAAGTGTGTAGTAAAACAATAAAACACAAATGGTGAAGAAATATAGATTGAAAAGAGAATGACCAGTACACAAGTAATACTTCTTTTTATTGTGTAGAAAGAATGAGGACTGAAGTATAAAACAAACAAAAGTAAATGATTCTTGAGGAAGTATCTTTGCATAAAGTTGTAATAGGATGGAATTGATTATATTCTTTTAAAAATGTGAAGAGAAATTTAAAGAGCAAAAAGCAGGGTGTTAGGTAGTGTTTGAATATGATGGAAAGAATGATGGTTTGTAAGGGGAGAAGGGAGAAAAACAGTTAATGGTGTTGGAATAGCTTTAGCTATATTTCCTTTTCTATGTATTTTTAAGATTTTTCAAAATCTAACAATGCAGTAAAAAAAAGGCCTTCCATATGTTGAAGATTAATCCATTACACAAATGTTTTGTCTTAAAGGAGAGGGAAACAAATGTGGCCTGCATGGCTGAAACCTTCTGAAATGCATCTGACCATAAGTTATGTGGAAAAATCAAGTAAGTATTCACATATAGTGACTCATGTTTATTTTGAAATTCTGTTTATGATGTAGTTCTCATTAGTAATTTAAGTGCAAATGTATGCCTAGATATACTAGTTTATGAAATTTAACATCAGCCAAAATCTATTTGCAGTTCTTATATTCTCTAACTAAACAAGCAGAATGTTTCCTCTATTCATAGCATTTTATTATACATGTAAAAGCTGTTCTTCAGTTCTTAATGTGTTTCGACTGCAGTGTTATAAGATATATTCTATATACAGCCTTTACATTTCAAGATTACACATTTTTAGTAATTCCTTCAAACTTAAATTCAGTTAAATCTTTTCATTAGGTATTACTTTGACACAAACATGAAACACTGTTGCAAACTTAAATGAAGGTTTTTTTCAGAGTAGTTTTATTGAACTTAGTTAATTTTTATAGCTATTTCTTATATAAAGCAAAATAAAAAAACTCTGCCAGCACAGTGTGTGTCTACATGCGCACATGTGTCACCATTTAAACTGTTTTTCACTGCAGTCAGTGACATTATATAAACTTTGTTAACAAAAAAGGGCAATGTCCACTTACCAAGAAGTAAATCTCAATGTAACAAGCTTTATTTTCATCTAATTTATAAATTTCATCTTTTTTTCTAAAATGAAAAACTCTGCTGAAAAGCAAAACATTGCAATGTATTTAAAATACTTCGTAAGCTGTCTCACTGATTTATGTTCTGTTTCATTCATGAAAAAAGCTGAAAATGAAGGCTAGTTTTATTAAAATTTAAAAGCAATGCTCAAATATTATCCCAAAATAAACAAGTCAATAAAGTCAGTAAAACTACAAATATGTATAGTATGTTAGCACTAAAATACACAGTGATGATTTAAACACAATGGATTTTTTAAAAGGAAATATTTTTCCTATTAATAATCAATCTGAAAATCAGTGAAGTAAAATGTTTTGCCTCTTTAAATTTAAAACACAAAATTGAATCTGGAAAATTAGAGATATTGATAGAATCTTATTCAAATAATGGATGAATATATTTCTTAAAGCTGTATATTAAAAATTTTCCCAAACCTAGTGGAACTTGGTTCTGAATTATCACAGTTTATTGAACAATGTATATAGTGTTTCACTTTGTTAAAATTCTAAAATCATTCACTGCAAAACTAGACATAAACTCAGGGGATATCAAAACAGTTATTAAGACTAAGCTGTCAATATAAGATCAAAGGAAATGTACTATAATTTACAGGATTGCAACAGAATTTTGGAAAAGGTGCTAAACGAGTAGTTACAATTACAATCTGCAAATAGCATTTGAAAATAGGTGGAAACATTTTCACCAAACTATATATATATAGTTTGGTGAAAATGTTTCCACCTATTTTCAAATGCTATTTGCAGATTGTAATTACTCGTTTAGCACCTATATATATATATATATATATATATATATAAAACTATTCCTGAAACTGTAAAACAGAGTAGAAACGGATAGCAGCCTAGTTTATCTACATCCAGAATTGGCATATTACAGAATTTGCATGTTAACTGGCATAAAAACGATAACTAACATTGTATGCATAACTCTTTCTTTGCAGAAAACCTTATTTTACAGGTAACGAAATCTCAGAATGCATGTATAGGGTTAGGTGTTTTTTTTAAGAAAATGCATAAAATGCAGTGATATGGGCAGTATGGAAATTTAATGAATAAGTAAATACACTATACTTATGAATCCTAAATCCTAAAGGTAATATCATATACTGGGTGCTAACGATTGTATAATTGCAATCAAAAAAACATTTGCTTAAGTCCTCATATATATAAACATTCACGCTTGAATGATACACAAGATAAAATTCTGCAAGTCCTTTAGATTTTTATATAATACCTTTCCTGGCAAAGAGAAACAAATACATTTTGTTTAAGGTTAGATGTACAGTACTGATAATTCTATCTGTGGGTGCACCTCTTAATTTTTCTTCAAAAACAGAACATGCAACACACAAACATATTTACTGTTTCTAGAAAAGGCTATTGATTTAGCTAGGATTAAGTTTGTGAGCCATCAGTTTTCTGCAAGCCCTTGCAAAAATACAGTACAGGGAACTTCAAACCACCATATATAGTTAAAAGAGAAAGACATTTCCATAACAGCAACTTGAAACCCATTGTATGAATTTCAGCTCATAGTATAAGCTAAACATTTTGGCATACATAATTGCCAAAATGTTTGGAAGTTAAAAGCATAAACTAACAGTTCTGCTTAGGTTATATCACTACTACTACTGGGTACTTTTCTGACAGAGCAGATAAAGATACTGCTTGTGTTGGACAAGGAAGACAGACGACATGGAAGAGATACTGTGGCCATCAGCCTTCACTAACTATCCTGAAAACTACAAACAAGGAGCATATGGACCAATAGAGCAGGAACAGCCAAAGGGACAGCAGCTACGGGAATAAATTCAGGTACATGAACACCCCTATGGTAATGAATTTCTTGCCTACGGCCCAGCTAAAAGAAAGCTCGAAAATTTCACACAAAAGTTTGGGTTGGCGGGGAGGGGGAGAGCCGGATGCTTGCTCTTCCTCATTTACTATTTCAGTGCATGGGGAGCAGACTGGCTGAATCAAAAGAGCCTCGGCTCACAAAAGAGGTAGACAATCCCTAGTTACACCTTTTGTCTTCCTATCCACGCTTTTTTGCAAAGCTTTTCCTGAATCTCTCTTCCATTTTCATTTTTCCATCCATTTACCCTGACCCGCTGCAGTGGTTCCCCAAGCCTTGCACAGAAAAGAAACGTACCGAGCCAACAACACTCGAAACAATTTCAAGTGGTGCTGCGGAGGAGCAGCTTCTTCCTAGTTGGACTTCACGGCTACTCGAAACTCGTCTAGTACTATTCAGAGATGAGATGTGGAGGCAGCCATTTTCACTCGGGCAGGGAAGTCAGCCACCATGCGCACGCGCAGATACTGCAGATCACGAGACAACTTAAACTCAGCTGATGGTTCGCTCCTCCCTTTCCCCTTGTCTCCTGTTGCTCGGATTGCGCCTGCGTTTCTCACGTCGCTTCCCTTTTTCAAGGAATTGGAGCATGCGCAGAACGAGCAACAGAAGGAAAGCAAAGGTCGACGGCTTCCTATTAGAAAAGGAACGGCCACGTTCCACAGGGCGAGTGGGGTAGCAGGGTAAAAATCGAACGGAAGGAGGTCGTTTCTTACAGTTGCGGCATAGATCGAGCCAAGGTGGCGCAGTGGTTAAATGCAGCATTGCAGGCTACTGCTAGATCAGCAGTTCAGCGGTTC